TTCCTCATCTTATTTATTTGAAATTATTTTGTTTTAGTTATTTCAGAAAAAAAATTAATAATTTAATTTTTGTGTAACGTTCTCCCAATATGTGTAAACTTCACATAAAGTTTTCAATCTAATTGACATTTGAAGTCTATTGAACACGTTGTCAAGTTTTGTACGTCTTTCCCTAATTCAAGTGTATAATAATTTACCCTTCAATTTGTCGTTCCTGTCAATGTTTCGTAATTCATTTTAAGAAAACGAGCGATGATTATTACTTACCGATAATGTCAAACAATAACCAAACAATGCTGTTAGGGTAAGGCTTTAGAAATCACAGCTCATTTCATACAATTGGAATCGAGAATCTGCCATTTCTGATAGCTCATTATCATAAATATACACCTGTACATATGTAGTTATCCTTCATTAAAAAAAGAATGAAAGTCAAATAATATAACTTCAATTCACAAAAAAGTATTTCTGATTTTTAAATTTACTTTTCGCTTAAATTGTTAATATTTAATAAATTCTGTCTGTTTTATTTTTAATAAATAACAAAATATTTAATTTCTATTCTTTTGCGAAAATTGATATAATTTTTAGAGTAATTTAAATATTTTAAGAACTGAGCAACTCTTTTACAATGTTTTTTAAATATGAAACACTATTTTTAATTAGAATTTTCACTTTAGAGCATTTAATACAGAACAGTTTGGGTTCTATTACTATATACATATTACTATTTATATAATGTTTTCCTTATTTGCATTCATATTACTTTTTTCTAAAATTAGGACTAAATAATTATGATATGTTTTGGCCACAGTGTGAATACACTTATTTTTTTACGATTTAGTTCTCTAAAAAAACCACTTTTTCGCTTGGAAGTCAACTAACAATGAACCACTTTGTCTTTGACAAAATCAAAGTGGTTAATTGTCAGTTGTTTTTTTTTTTGGTTTAGATATTAAATTTGTTTCACTTCATATCCACGAATGTAAAACAAGTTTAATAGCTATGCCGATTCTTGTTGTCCTTTTAGATACAGCTTTCCGTCTGAAACAAATAAATAAATTTATATATTATTGATAAAAAAGGTGAATAAAAATTTTCTTACCTTGACGTTGGATAATTTTTGCACTACAGTTGGGTTCGTGAACATAACCTACTCTGAACGTTTGTGCATCGTTCATCGGTAATATATGTTTTGGCCAGAGCGTAAATGCACTTATTTTGTTACGATTTAGTTCTCTAAAGCAACCACTTTTTCGCCTGGAAATCAACTAACTATAAACTATTTGGACTTTGACAAAATGAAAGTGGTTTATCATGTTTCATGAAATATCATGTTTCACATTGTGTCCATGGAATATAAAACAAATTTAATAGCTACGCCGATTCTTGTTGTCCTTTTAGATTCAGCTTCCCATCTGAAATAAATAAATTAATATAATATTAAATATTATTATTGACAAAAAGAAAGAAGGTGAATGAAATTTTCCAAGCAGACTTTTAATATTTTTTTATCTACTTATTTTTGAAAAAAAAGTGTGGCAAAAAATTACAGCGACAAAAATGTGTTTTTTTTTCCTCTAAAAGTCACTTCAAAAAAATATTATACATATATATGTACATACATATAATCATCAAACCTTTGAAAAGAAAATAAGAGGGACTCAACATTGACACAAAAATGGACCATTTAACAGTAGGAGGTCTCATTCTAAGAAATTCACGTTTTTCTGCTCTGCATCTAAATCACTAGTTTAGCAGATGATCTCTCATAAAATTCAAATACCATGAATTTATTTTTCATGGCAAAGAAAAAGAAAGAAAAAAAACAACTAGATACCCAGTAAAATTTCGTTGATCAACGAATCGTCATTTTTTTATTAATCATCTTTACACGTAACAATGGTGAATCATCATCATCAACAACAACAATAGAATTTTAAGTATTAAAGTAAAAATTTTTGTATATTATTAATTATGAATTTTATTGTAAATTATCAATTTATTAATAGATAAATTATTAATTAGATAAATAATTTACACTGACTGAAAAAATTATTAACAATGAAAGTTAATTATTAATTAATTACGTTGACATAATTCGTTTAGTAAAAATTATATTATGTGACTGATTGCAATTATAATGAAAAGGCAGAAATAATTTTAATTAGAAGCATAACACGCGTATGAAAGGAGTAAAGAACAAGTTTGTTATAATCATTATTTAGTAATAATATGCTTGTTTCATTATCAGGGTAATCATCAAAAGCTTCACCCTCCATTGAATGTGCATTATTGCGCAATAAATTCGCCTTTTTAAACAGTACATACAATATTCCATCATTTAATTGAACCACAGTTTCTCTAATGAACGATTTGTCGATTGTATTGTCAATTTGATAATTTCAATCTTCATAACAGAATTATGTTTCAAGTTAATGTTAAATAATTTATTTTAATTAAAAAAAAAATTAATTCCTCCCTTTTTGACGGTTAAAATGTAATTAAAATTTCCATTTTACTTAATTTATTCCTTTTTTTAACATTATTTTATAATTATAATTTTTTTTTCTCATTTCTAAATTTAAACTTTTTCAGTGTGATAAAAAAAATGCTTGAAATCTATTTATGCAAATGACATTTGTTTGGAAAATCAAAACTTTTTACTTGTGACTTTCGGGGTAAAAAAAAAAGAAAATTCAACTTGCAAATGCATTTTATGTCAAATTTGAGAAAATTGAATTTATCGAATGTCTCGGTTAAAGTTTCACTTTGATGAAACTTTCAATTTCTTTTAAAAACAACATTTTTTTTCTTCGAGACAAAATTAAGGTCGCAACTTTTACCCTCTGGTAGCAAAGTACTGATGACAAGTTCTCCTTACAGAATTAATGACAATCGCTTATTTTTTACTGAGGTTTTAAAATCAAATAAATACTAAAATAATTGTACTTAAAAAAAAATTGCTAATTAATATAAAATATTAATTTTAATTAAATTCTAAATAATTTATTTAAAATTAAATTTTTTATTTTATAGAGCTTAATTGTTATAAAAAAATTAATTAATAAAGCATAATTTTCCTGTCAATTCTTATTATCGTCTCAAAAAAAAAAAAAAAAAAAAATTACACTACATGACATCGATCCTTATGCGCACGAGTCATTAGTGTAACAAAATCTTGATACTTGCGATTGTATTTCATTTCAATAGCTGATAATTTTATTAGTCTTCGTATTGATTTTGTCGAAAAATTCTTTTCTCTCTTTAGAAAATTATGTTATTTTTCTTACTTTGATTTTTTCGATATAATTTAGAAAATAAGGAAAAGAATTCTACAAGTCTTTAATAAAAAAAAAATAATAAACCGATTTTATGTAAAATGTGTAAAAAATAAAAATTTATAAACAAGACTTGCCATTTAAATCGCAAGTGACCTTGAGCGAATGATTCGGATAGTTTCGCAACTGTTCGTGTGGAATCGTAACAATTCGAAGTGCCACGAACTTGCCCGAAGACTCCATTCGGCTATCTAATTCCTAGAAAGTACAATTTTAATTTTTTCTGTTAAATATCAATGTAATTGAAAAAAATAATTGTCTTAATAATAATTTCTAAATATATATATTCAAATCTCTATATATTTATCGATTTGAAATATTTTCTCGTATTTCGATTAGATTCAATATAATCTCTAGACTTGAGATTTTCGACAAAATTTTTATTCAGAACATAAATTCTCTATGTATTTTATTTAATTAGATGCAGTATTTATTTTTAAAATAGCTCTCTTTAGTTTTCCATTTGTCGTGGAGTAAATTTAATTTTCCAAGAAATAATGACGACACACTTTATTAAACATAGATGCAGAATTATATTTTCCATGTCAATTTGTAATATCCCCCGAGAGACTTGCGGCAAAGTTCACCCCAGAAATGTTCAACACTGGACGCATTTCATGTATAAATATTGTTTACATTACCGACAAACTTTGTCCCAAGAGTTTCGTTATAAACCACTTGAAAATTTTGTGTGACATGTCAATGATCGACTAATTGACCCTGTCCAACTTTAATGAACCCCTTTTTCTGAATGTCAATCAAAAATTTATTTTTTCTTCAAAGCATTTTTTTATTTCATAATTTTCACTTTCTTTATTTTTCCGAAAATTAATTCCTAAATAATTATTTTAATTTAATTTGACATTTAAATAATTAAGTTAAAAAACTAATAGATTTAAATTTAATTTGCCATTTAAATATTTAAGTCAAAAAGTTAAAAAATTGTAATTTACATTTAAATACCTATATAAATATTAAATGATTAATATAAATTTAAATTTAATTTACCATATAATTATTTAAATGGAAGGGAAAAATTAATTGCAAATTAATCGGAGTATGGTTAAAAAAAGGGTAAACTATTTGGATCTAGATTTTTATTTTACTAATTATATTACTAATCATATTACTAATTTTTTCTAAAATTAAAACTAAATATTTATGATATGTCTTGGCCACAGTGTGAATACACTTATTTTTTTACGATTTAGTTCTCTAAAGAAAACACTTTTTCGCCTGAAAATCAAATAACAATGAACCACTTTTACTTTAACAAAATCAAAGTGATTTATTATTAGTTGTTTGATATAGACATTAAATTTGTTATTAAGTCCATGAATATAAAACAAATTGAATAGCTTTGTCGATCTTGTTGTCCTTTTGGATTCAGCTTCCCACCTGAAAAAAAAATTTGTATATTATTGACAAAAAGAATAAAGGTGAATGAAAGTTTTCTTATCTTAATGCTGGCTATTCTTTATGTTTAAATTTAATTTATCATTTAAATACCTAATTAAATTAAATTATTAATTTAAATTTAATTTACCTTTTAATTAGTTAAATGTCAGGGGAAAATTAAGTGCAAATTAATCTGAATATGTTTAAAAAAGTGTAAATTATTTGAGGCTATATTTTAATCTTTCCTTTTTCTAAAATTAGGTGGTTGCGGTGCTTTCGGACACTCTTGTTATGGAGGTCACGGGAAGAGATCTGATTTAAATCAGCATGGCGCTTTGTCAAACGAGAGAAATATTATTAATCGAGAAATACCGGAATACGTTCACACAAATGAGGGGACTTTTGGAATTGAAGCATTGCAAAAAAATCAGGAGCGAGCTGAAAGACGTATTTCGGAAATTGATAAAAATCAATTGGGTGACGATCCTCTATCCATCCTCATACGACAATGGGTATACATTATTTTTTCATAATTATAAAAATTGTTTCCTCTACACTAACAAATGAAATTGAGTATTTGCATTTTTTGAACTGTGTATCCATGCATTTTTTGAAAACCATTCTTGTAGGACCACCTGTTTGAGTCGTCTTTCTATTTCTTGTTAATTGAAAAATACAATTTGTTGTTAAACATTATTTGTTATTACAATTTGTTGAAGTTGTTAATTATTATTTGATAAGTAAAAAATTTTTTTAATAATACTATTTGAACCGTGAAGCTATTCAGTCTAGTGATTCGCAGTGACTCTTTGGCAAATATCATAGTACCTCCTGACTACTTTTGTAAAAGTAAACCAAGTTATTGTTAGGAGGTCATGTAAATTAATTTGGAATCACTGCAAATCCCATTAATTTCTCGATTTCAACAATTTTTGTGTATTTTTTTACAGATGATAGAACGCCATCGTCCAATTTCTGCTACTGGTTCAGCATACAAATGAATTTAATTTTTTAATTGTCTCGTCGAAAGCACAACGTGACGGACATCATAAAATTTTTTTAAAAATAAAATGTTCACGTTTCTACTGTTCTTTGTCCCAAAAACTAATTTTTCAATTCTAAATTATTATTTTATTATATAGTATTTTCTTTATTAATCGAATTAATTTTGACATTAATATGAAAATGGTTTTTTTCTAATTGATAGGTATTAAAAATTTACTTTCACAAAGAGCTTTTAAATTATTGCAAAATAAAAGCAAACATTTTTTTTATTGGTAAAAAGCAATTTATTTTTATCAATGCATTTTTATTTATATTGCAATAATTTTCGTAAAAATAAAAATTGCCTAACCTTGTGATAAAACATCACTCATTGCTTTATTATCTTTTTTTTTGTAGGCAAACATTTTTTTAACGAAAAAGAAAAAAAAATTGTACAGAAATGCTTTTTCATCATCTAGTCATAAATTGTATTTTTCTAATTGTTTAACTTAATTTCTAGTCTAGATAATTTTGTCATTTTTTTAAAACTAAAATACGTTTATAAACAATCCCACATCTTTCTAAGATAATGTATAAAGTTATAATGTCAAAATAAAAAATTTAATCCCACATCCATTATAAATCAAATTTTATGAATGTTACACACAGTATTATAATAAACACAATATATATATTTTATATTAGGAGGAATTTAGGATCATCAATATAATGGCGAAAATAATTTTATATTATTCACTTCATTTTTAAATAATAAACTGTATAATTTAAGGATTCACAAATTGTATATTTTTTTAACGCCATTGGAATTAAATCTATTATAGGCGTTAGATTAAAAACACTAGAACATCGTTATCATTAATGCAATAACATTATTTGTATTTAATTTATATTATTATAAATGTTGTAATTTTAAATCCTTATACACTCTTAACGAATGTTCGAAGCTAAAATGTAGTAAAATAAAATGATCATATAATAACGTTGGTTTATTTAAATAAAAAAAAATGTATACACATTACACAAAAAGCTTTTTTTTCGAAAGAAGATAATTTTTAACACAAAGACTAAATGCTTCATAATTAAAATTATCACATAATGTTTCAATTAATAATTTATCTATCTGTTAAATTTAAATTTTCTGACTTACATTGCGCCATCTGGGAAATTTATCCAAAACCCAAAAACTATCTCTCTTACCGACAATAGTTATTCCCCTTAAGGTAAGTCGACATAGAATTCGTTTATCTACATCGACATATTTTTTGTTGGGTAAGATCAATGTTCTATATTTCCACTTTTTAACTATTTTCCTTAAAATTAAAATTCTTTAATACTTAACTTATTTTAGTTGACTAAACTTTACTTTAGAATATTTGAAAATAAAAAGTTTGAATGCTTCTATTAATTTTCATATTATGTATTGTTGTTCCTTTTTCCCTATTAAAAGTTTTGTATTTCTTACATATTTAATGAGAGTGAAATAATAAAAACAAATAATAATAATAATAACCAACAAATACTAATTAAAAAATTTTTAAAAGACGAGGTGAAATTTTTACTTACTTAATGTTTTGACCAAAAAGTGAATACACTTATTTTTTACGATTTAGTTATCTAAAGCAACCACTTTTTCGCCTGGAAATCAATTATAATTGATGAACAGCATGGATTTGTAAGGGGAAGATCCACATTAACTAATCTTGGTATTTTTACTACTTTTTTAACTAATAATATTGAAAAGGGTCTTCAAATAGACACTATTTATGCTGATGTGTCGAAGGCATTTGATAGGGTGGATCATAATATACTATTAAGCAAATTAAATTCACTAGGCATTTCTGACAACATTGTTTCATTTTTTAAAAGTTATTTGTCTGACAGGTGTCAAGTTGTAAAAGTTGATGACGAATATAGTGAACCTTTTTTAGCGACCTCTGGAGTATCTCAGGGATCGCGTCTTGGTCCTTTAATGTTCATTTTATATATGAATGATGTAAAACTTATTTTCAGGCATTCCTACTTTTTGCTCTATGCAGATGACCTTAATTAATGTTAAAAAATAATTAATTCACTTTCAGCAGAAAAAGACACTTCAGATCTGCAAAAGGATCTGAAAAGGTTACAAAAATGGTGTATGGTTATAAATTCATTTAAGTATTAATATTAAAAAAAATTATGTTGTTTCATTTTCTAAAGGCAAAGTTAGTTCATATAACTATACTATTGATGGTCAGAACTTGGAGAGAGTAACTAGATTATTGAGAAAAGAAAAAAATGAATGAGAATTTTCTTACCTTGACGCTGGATACAAATTAGCACTACAGTTGTTGCGTTCATGAACATGTATGTGCATCGCTCGGTAATCATTTGAACCTTTTATGAGTGGTCGGTAAAGTAGAAATCAAATTTTAATTTTTCAATGTTGCATAAAATTAATATAAATAAATATAAATACATATAAAAAATATAAATACATGTAAAAAGAATAAAATATTCAGAATCTCATGTCAGATCGTTTTCAGATCATTGATAAAAGGACGAACTAATTATTTTTGGTGAAAAATGCGAAATTAATAAAATGAGGCAGATCTTTTGAGATGTAAAAATTATAAATTTGTGCAGCATCACAAAACAAAATAATAAAAAATTTTTTTGCAAATAAAGGTACCCTACGGTACCGCAGTGTTACAAGAAGAGAATAATAATAAGGCTCATTGACATTAATTTAAAATTGAATTAAAATAATATTTTATTACAATCCGCTAATTAAAAAATACAAACTTCCCATGTAATGGACCATGTATATTAAAACTCCCACGCAATTTTGTACCTACGTATAAGAACAGCACAAAAGCAGTACACGTCATTGGAAATTATTTCAAAGCTTGTCGTACTATATACAAAATAAATATACGTTGAAGTGTCTATTTAATCAAAAAAAGTAGTAAAGAATTCTTTTTTTTTAAAATAAAGAAAATGAAAATTTTCCTACGAATGTACATTTGAATTAGGATTTTTGCCATGCAAAAAGCATCAAGTTTTCTAAAATAATTGAAATTCATGACGAATGACGCAGTCAACAATAAGGGAAATGACACGACAGCATTCTTCACTTTTTGAAATCCGTATTTTGCATACTCGGTTGTTCTTTCTTTCGCGTCACAACTCAGGAATAGAAGCGGGAGAAAAAAAAATGGAAAGAAATAGAAAAAGATTCAAAGTACCTCCGATCATTATTTACAGCCTCTCCTTGTGTCAAAAATTTAGAAATCATTTATTATCCTCTATAAATTGAGAATCTATTAATTATCAACTAGGTCATTGCGAAATTTATTTTGCCTGAGAGATATATAAAGTTTACAATACGTAAAGTCTGAATTCTGATATCAAAGAAAGTATTTTTTTTAAGGAAAAAATTAATTATATTATAATTTTTATGAATCCTGTTTAAGTAATGTTAATAAGTAGAGAATCTTTTTAAGGAAAGAAAATTAAATAACATTGGTATGACAATTTTTTTTCCCTCGACTGAAAAGAGTAAAGTCAGATTGATTAACACCTACTAAACAGGATAAATTCACTCGCGTAAATGGATTCGAATTTTCATACGATATTAAAAAAGTGCAAACCTTATTAAAGTCGGGAAAGCATATTCATCTGTAGAATGTAATTTCTGATTTTCTATTTCGCCGTTGCTTTGAAAAATAAAAATTTCTCTCTATTATTGAGATGAAAAAAATTGATTGAAATCTGATTTTCATGCCAAAACAATTTTATTATTAAATTTAAATTGATTTCTTAAGATTGGAAATAAGAACATAAAAATTCCAGAAATTATTGTACTTTCCGCAAAGGAAAAGAACTATATGAACTATATTTATTAAATTGTTGATAATTTAATAATAAATTCCAAAAGTGTAGAGTAACTATTTAGTATTTTTGTAATATTAGATTCTTTCTGAATTTTGTAATTTCATCTACTAGACTCCCTAATGTCCTTATAAGTGAATTATTATTTCAGTATAAATGTAAACGTTTTCAAATTTACATTTATAAGATCTAAATGGACACTAAAAGTTTAGACATAATTTTGAAATTAGATTAACACTTGTACTCAAATTCCCAAAAGACGAATTTTTAATTAACCCCCCCTTAAAATTTTTCAGATTCCAATACATTGAAATTGGGGTAAAAAAAAGTCGGAACATTTTTAAGAATATTGATTCATGTCAGATATGCAACGTACCATGGTAAAATTTGTGACTCTTTGGATAATTAAATTCACTTTAAATGATTATAATTTATTTTGCAAGAAAATCCTTAATGACTTTCAAAGGCATTAATTTTCTCACAAACAGTATATTCATTAACAAAACATAAAAAGTCGAGAGGCATATCCCTGGGCTTTATTCACTGTATATAATGCATAAATACATACACAAATAATACGCATTATGATTATATACAGACCATTTGCCACCGGAAAATACATACACGATACAATAAAGTAGAGAATGAAAAATAAAAAAAATGATACGAACAAAAAAAAATCCGAGAGGAATAAACGGCTTGCAATGGAAATGCAACAGTTGTCGATTTATATACTGCGACTCTCGTTATTGTGTCGTGGGTGTGTTTCGCGCATCGTTAACGTTTCATTCATTTCAGAGATTTGCCTTATAGAATTTTTATTGTAGGGGGGAGGAAATTTCTCAAAAGGATCAAGAGGCTTCTCCTTAAACTTCATATCATGCGTATCTAATTTTATTGTTTATTATTTCTTTCTCAGAGATAAAAAAATATTATCAGTTAAAGATTTTATTCTATTTCATGAACAGCGTTGACTTTTTCTAAATCTATTTTGTAAAAATTTCAATTCATTGTGATAGCGTTGACTTTTTCTAAAGCCATTTTGTAAAAATTTAAGTGTCATAAACACTGTCACTCTCGGATGTCTGGAACCGTAAGTCCGCTATTGGAGTGTGTCCTTCCTTATATACCTCCATCCCCACTCCACTCAACTGTGTGCGCAACGTCACATACTTAATGAGGGTGAAATAATAAATTGTAATACCCAATGAATACTAATTAAAAGATTTTTGAAAAATTTACTTACTCAATGTTTTGGCCGGAGCGTAAATACATTTATTTTGTTACGATTTAGTTTTCTAACAGAACCACTTTTTTGTCTGGAAATCAACTAACAATGAACCACTT